TTGTTGCATGAGCTGCTGGAAGAGGAAGTTCTCGATGATTCTTCTGGGTTTGTAGTCTTGAAGGAACATTTGGAGGAGGCAGAGAAAGTGCTGCAGAATCTTGAAAAGGCAATTGAAAGAATCCACTCGCACTCATCATCTTTGAGTAGGTCAGGCAGTAAGGGGGCTGCACCTGGAGTGTCAAAGCTAATTCAAGCCTTTGAATCAAAGGTGCATAGTGATGAACATGAAGTTGGGGAAAGAGACGTGGTTGAAGATCAATCAGCTGCAAGTTCATTTTTGTCAACAAAAGAGCACACTGAAAATTTGAGAGCAGTGCTTAAGCAATTGGGTCTGGATGCTGAGACTGCTGGTCTAATGTTCAAGGGGATTCGTGACTGGAGGACAACTGCAAACATGACACTCCAAGAACTTCAGGTTCAATCTGATGCCCTGAAGGAACACAGTTATAATTTGGAAGCAACTAATATTGAGCTTGAGATTTTGTATGAAGCTGTAAAGCAACATTTGTGTTCAGTGGAGGCTAAGAACACTGAACTTGAGGTTCTCTGTGAAGTCTTAAAGCAAAGAGAGACAGATATGAGGGTACAAAATGTGGAGCTTAGTAAAAAACTGAGTGTTTACCAATTAAGAGTTACTGAAATGCAAAGTCAGTTGGATGGTTTGCAGCAAAGCTCAGAGGAAATGGCGTCAGTGATGCACGAACAGCTAGAGAGTTTGCAGAAGGTGGGATCTGAGAGAATATTGATGCTTGAACAAGCATGGAGCTCATTCACTGCTCAGATTGTTGAAACTGTTGCCAGGCTTGATAAGTCTCTTCCAATAATTTCTGCCTCCACCTTAGCTACTAACTCCTATGATGCCATGGATATCAATAGTTGCATTTCTGTTTCAGTGGATGCTGCCATAAAGATGATTAATTATCTGCAGGAGAAACTGGAGGCTGCTTGTGAAAACCATGAAGCAGTCCGTAATTCGTATGGAGAACTGAATGAGAAGTTCAACAATTTGCTTGGAAAAAATGAATTGGCAATTGGTATATTATATAAGATATATGGTGATCTTACGAAACTTCTAATCAATTCATATGGACCTATGGATAAACCTAACATGGAAATACAAAATGAAGAATTGTCTGATCCTTTTGACTACAGTAGTTATAAGATTTTTATGGAACTACTGGAAAAATTTCTAGTGGAGAGACTGCAGATCTTGACTGTAAATGATAAACTGAAATCAGAGTTGGTGAATAAAGCTAAAGATATTGAGGAATTCAATAGACAAGGACTTGGTGCCAGTGGCATTCAAAATTTAATAGAGAAAATTGAGGATGTAATGGAACTTGAGGATGCTGAAAGTATTTTGGACAGGGCTCCTGGTTCTCAACTGGAATTATTGGTTTCTTCCCTTGTTGAAAAATATAAAGAGGCTGGTGAGCGTGTCAATCTGTCTAGAGAAAAACTTGGACTTAAGGATATAGAGTTGATTGAGATACAGGAGAAAATACTTAAGCATGAAAATGAAATCCTTGCGCTCAGGGAAAATTTAAATCAAGCTGAGGAAGCTCTTAGTACTTCATGTTCTGAGTTGCAGGAGAAAGAAAGTGAACTTCAACAGTCAGAGCAGCGGGTAGGCTCCATTAGGGAGAAGCTTAGCATAGCTGTTGCCAAGGGAAAAGGTTTGGTTGTGGCACGAGACAGTCTTAAGCAGTCACTGACAGAGACATCCAATGAGCTGGAGAGGTGCTCACAGGAATTAAAGTTGAAAGATGCCAGGCTTCGGGAGATGGAAACTAAACTTAAGGCTTATGCAGAAGCAGGTGAGCGTGTGGAAGCCTTGGAGTCTGAGCTTTCATACATTCGTAATTCAGCTACTGCACTAAGAGAATCCTTCCTTCTGAAAGATTCTGTACTCCAGAGAATTGAGGAGATCTTAGAAGACCTCGATCTACCTGAACATTTCCATTCCCAAGATATAACTGAAAAGGTTGATTGGTTAGCTCGGTCAGCTACTGGTAATTCAATGCCCTTGACTAATCTGGATCAGAAGAATCATATGGGAGGTTCATACTCTGATACTGGTTTTGTTGTTATGGATTCCTGGAAAGAAGGTGCACAGCCAGTCTCAAATGCTGTGGATGATTTGAGAAGAAAATATGAGGAGCTTCAAGGCAAGTTTTATGGATTGGCTGAACAGAATGAAATGCTGGAACAATCGTTAATGGAAAGGAACCATTTGGTGCAGAGATGGGAACAACTCCTGGACAGAATCGATATGCCATCCCATTTGCAGTCCATGGAACCTGAGGACAAAATTGACTGGTTAGGAACTGCACTTTTAGAGGCTAATCGTGATAGGGGTTCTCTTGAGCAGAAGATTGATGACCTTGAAAACTATTGTAGATCACTTACTGCTGATTTGGAAGTTTCATACAAAAAGATATCTGATTTGGAGGCAGAACTTGAATCAGTTGTCCTTGACAGAGAGCATCTTTCTGAAAGATTGAAGACACTAGCTATTGATCATGAGAAACTTTCAGCAAGAAAACTCCAGTTTGAACTTGAGAATCAGAAACTGCATAGTGAAGTACATGACTTGCAGGAGAAACTGGTTGAGAAACATGGAAATGAAGAGTCTCTTCAAATCCTTGAAGGAGATATAAGGAGACTGCTGGATTTGGTCAGTGATGCACTGCCAGATGCCGATATAATGAATTTGGTCTCTGTTGGCAACAATACTGAGTGCTTGGAAGTGTTGCTAAGGAAACTTATTGAGAATTACAAGTCTCTTGTCTTTATGAAACCTGTATCAGAGGAAGTATTGGCTGGGGATTGTACTGAAGTACCTCCATTTAATCCTGATGACTCAAGAAGCAAAGAGCCTTTAGTTGTTCAGGAACCAGCAGCTGATGGATATCGTAATAAAGTAGCTTATGATAATCTTGATGAAGCAACAAAAGGTACACTGGTTGCTGAAGAACCACATATAGCTTCTTTGAAGAAAGATTTGGAGGACGCTTTGCATGAACTAAAGCTTGTGAAGGAGGAAAGAGAGAGATATGTGGAGAAGCAACAATCCTTGCTTTCTGAATTGAAGTGCTTGGTAAGAAAAGCGAGAGTTGCAGAGCTACTTTATCA